AGGGGCCTAGAAATTGTTGTTCTAGTTTGTGAGCCATGTTTCAACATCTCTCATAACTTAAGTATGATTTTTCACCATTTCCATTGTCTTTCCAGAGCCTCTCCTCCCCGGATTAACCTACATTATCCTTCTCCGTAATGTAACACCCAGTACTTCCCTTATCAGAGCATTTTCATGCTGTATTGTCATTGCTTGTTTTTCTGTCTTTCCTGTCATACTTCAAATTCTGTGATGCAAAGGTCTGTGTCAGTCTTGCACTGGAATGAAAACGGGTCCAACATGAAATCAATGTTACAGAACTCATTGGCTACATGAAGGTTCCTCTGTTTTGCTCTGCCCTAGTATAAGGGAAAGCCACTTGCAAAGAATTAGTTAGCTTGTTTTCTTTTCTGGATGCCCACAGGGCACTGACAGGTGCTGGTATGAGTGCCAAGGGTGCAAGAACTAGGCTAAGCTTTGGTTCCCATAAATACCCAGCATCTACTGCCATTGCTGGCTCATGGTAGATGTTCAAAAAACATTCTGAGGATGAATGAATGAATAATGAATGAGAGCAATGAGAACCCAAATGAAGTTTCATAAAGAAGGTTTTTTCTTTCATTCATCTATTCACTCACTGTATTAGATGCTTACTCTATAGTAGGCAGTATGTTCATCACTAAGGGGAAAGGTAGCAGTTATGAAACAGGGAAAATACTGGGCTTAATAGGCATAATTAGAAGGGGCTCTTAACCTCATAGAGGGGAGGAAGGAGTGAAGTTGAGGACATGCTTGTCAGGAAGGTGAGTGATTAAGGAAGTGATGATTAGCTAGATTGTTAGGGGAAAAAAAAGATGAAATGAGTAAAGGGATGGGAATGGGTGGTGAGAATTCCAGGACAAGGGATGTAGTTTATGATACAAAGTTTCAAAGACTAGCGACAGCATCAGGCTGAGTTCAGTGACTCACATCTGTAATGTCAGCACTTTGGAAGGCCAAGGCAGGTGGAATGCTTGAGCCCAGGACTCCAGACCAGCCTGGGCAATATAGCAAACCCCTGTCTTTACAAAAAAATACCAAAATTAACTGATGTGGTGGCACACACTTGTAGCTACAGCTACTAGGGAGGGTGAGGTGGGAGGATCAATTGAGCCCATGAGATTGAGGCTGCAGTGAGCTGTGATTGCACCATTGCACTCCAGCCTAGGTGACAGAGTGAGACCCTGTCTCAAAAACAAAACAAGAGAGAGAGCATTTGGCCGGGCGCGGTGGCTCAAGCCTGTAATCCCAGCACTTTGGGAGGCCGAGGTGGATGGATCACGAGGTCGAGAGATCGAGACCATCCTGGTCAACATAGTGAAACCCCGTCTCTACTAAAAATACAAAAAACTAGCTGGGCGTGGTGGCACGTGCCTGTAATACCAGCTACTTAGGAGGCTGAGGCAGGAGAATTGCCTGAGCCCAGGAGGCAGAGGTTGCGGTGAGCCGAGATCGCGCCATTGCACTCCAGCCTGGGTAACAAGAGCAAAACTTCGTCTCAAAAAAAAAAAAAAAAAAGAGAGAGAGAGCATTGAGCATTCATGGAAATGCAAGAAGCTGACTCTGTGGGTAAGGTGGGAGTGGAGAGAGATGAGGCCTAAGAGGGAAAGGCCAGGTCTCTGGGGTCATGGAAGTCAGGTAGGATGTCAAGCTCCATCCCAAGGCAAACAGAGAGTGATTAGGTGCCGTAAGGGTAGGGTGACATCATCAGATTTCTGTTAGGAAGTCATCCCAGCTGGAGAGTGGATTATAGGGCATAAAAACTGGGCATGAGAAATGAGAATGGATGGTCAAAGGTGTGGTGGTAGGGATGCAATTATCATCAAAGCATCAGAGCATTCAGGTAGGGGAAAGAAGCATCTAGCTGGGCTCATATTTTTAAACAACTTTGGACAGAACCCATCAAACCACAGAGGTGCATCAAATGTTTTATTCCACATCAGCCATTACTTTTTATCTTTAAGGCTCTGCTGAAGGCTATGGAACGATATTAGCATTGGCCGGGTCTGAGTGCACAGACCTAAGAGGATCGGCATTGAAACCTCCTTCCCTTTAAGAAGAGAGTCAGTGGAGAAGAAAGAGCTGAGAGGTGACCAAATGTAGAGACAGCAGTGAATTATTGATGCACATACAGATGCCGCTAAAGACAATTTTCCCTTAGAATCAGCAGTTAGCAGATGTGTTACTTAGATCAGGGCAGTCCCACCTTGTAGTTTGTTCCAGAATCTTGGGGTGAGAACATTTGTAATTTGCAAAGGTAATATTTTATCTGTGGAAGGCAAGCACGTGAAAATTTTATCTTGTACTCTAAAGAAAGTAAACAAACCGTGCTGGCTGTGGGATGTACAAATGTTCAGTGTATATGTGTGTCAGTCACTGACAGAGGGCTGGGGAAAAACTAGAATCTGCCACAGGGACTGGGTGGCAGAGATATTTATGCTTATCAAAGGTGGCGGGCAGGAATCAAGACATTTTGAGAAAGTGAATTAAAATCTTATAAATACTTTAGTCATAAAGGCCAATGATGTATTATATTATACTTTCCGCATTTGTTAAAATATAACATAATCATATTTGGCATCTAATCATTCTAGACTTTGTGGTAGTCACTGGAATCCACTAACCACCTTTGTCCCTAGGAGTAATGATTTAATAAAGAAGACAGACACAGAGATTATTAACACTCTACCATGATAAGTACCATAACAGATACATGTTTAAAGAACTCAGAGAACAGAGGGATTGATTTCTAGTTGTTCAGCAGTGTTTATATATCCTTATGGTTGACATCATAAGTCAACATTGGGGAGCCCTATACTCGACTTTATAAAACAATGTAAATATTTTAAAAATCCTATAAAACCTATAATCCTCCCAGCATCACAGAAACAGCATTGTCCCTGTGGGAGGACTTGATTGAAGCCTACAGGGATGAGATGACCGAGATACTAGTATCAGATGATCTGGGTCATCATCCAGATCAAAGGGGACTTCAAGCCTAGCCTCTTCTGTGACATCACACTACATGTGTCCCCCTTTGTAAAAAAAAAAAAACGAAGATACGAACTTAGGTTTCATTTCTGGGACCAAACATAGTCAACATTTTCAGGCATTAAAACCTGTAAGAAACTGGTTCTTAAGTACCAGTGTGTAATCTCTTGAAAATTAGTTTCCTTCTTTATGGGCTCACTTTACAGATGGGCTCTGAGTTAAAAGAAAAGGTCAGACTTGGGAATCAGAAAGACCTGTTTCAAATCTGGCTCAGGACTCACTGGCTGTGCCATATTAGGCAAGCATCAATAGGCTCTGGTCCTCAGTCCCTGAAGTGGCACACTGGGGAAACAGGTGACATCGTAAGATGAGTGCAGGCCCTGGCCCTGGGTAGCTGCCCTGACCCTATCTCTGCTGTCACCATCCTAGTCCAAGCTACCATCTCTCATCTGGATTGTGGCAATTGTGGGGTGTTTTCCTTTTTTTCCCCCCTCCCTTCCTCCCCCTCTCTCTTTCTTTCACAGGGTCTGTCTCTGTTGCCCAGGCTGTAGTGCTGTGGCACTATTTTGGCTCACTGCAACCTCCCGGGTTCAAGGGATTCTCCTGCCTCAGCCTCCCGAGTAGCTGGGATTACAGCCACCAGCCACCAAACCCAGCTAATTTTGTGTTTTCACTAAAGACGGGTTTCACCATGTACACCAGACTGGTCTCAAATTCCTCATCTCAGGTGATCTGCCCACCTCAGCCTCCTAAAGTGTTGGGATTACAGGCGTGAGCCACCACACCCATTTATTCTGGGTCACTTCAATCTAGCACTCTTCCCTGACAGCAAAAAGGATTGAGTCACCACCATTAAAAGATCAAAATCCTCAACATGATTTATAGAAATCCTCAACATGATCATAGAAACAAGTGCTATGGTCACCACCAGCACTGTTAAAAAAAGTCAAGTAAAGTAGTACAGAAATGTGAAACTGCAATGCCAATTGTAAGCGTAAGAATTATGTCATGAAACTTTTCTCATTGTGCGCCTTGTCAAAAACTGTTGGAAGGCCTCAGGCCTATATTACCCTGAATAATATGACCCTAGCCTTCTTCTTTAGCCCCACTTCCCATCATCCCCGCATGCAGTTATCCGTCCTTTGCCCACACTAGCCTTCCTTAAATTCCTCCAATGCATCATGTTCCCTTCTGCGGGAGACCACTTGCACATGGTTTTCCTCCTTGCCTACTTAATGTCATCCTCCAGGTCTCAGCTCAGATGCCAATTCTCCAGGCAAACTTTCCCAGATCACATCCCGAACCCCTGTAGCCATGGGCCTCACAGATCTGTGTTCAGTTTTTAGTTATCCCTTTAATAGCACGCTTCCTCGGTTAATGACAAGCTTTCCGAGTAGGCTGTCTTTGTGACCGCAGGGGCCCTGTTCTTGTTTATCCTGTGGTAATCCAGTGCCTATCTCAGGCTGGCACCTAGGCATTCAGAGGGATAAATGAAGGAAAGAACTGGCTAACCTATCCACCAATGACATTGGCTGACCTCCTTCCTTGCTTGGCATCGGTTTGGTTTCTAAGCGTTGCACCTAGAAAACCACAGAAGGGTTGTACTGTCTGCCTAGTTTAGGGACTTCCTTTAACAGTATTTCTTGAGTCTCCGAGTCTCTGGTGAGCTAAAAAACAAAACAAAACAAAAACCTGCACCAACATTGTATGCCTGTGCTGGCCGTTGAGCACTTCGGTGGAGCGAGGGGGACGGATGTTCGTGAGATTTCAGAGGGGAACCCTGCCCGTTGACTCCGAACTGCCGCAGCTCCGAGAGCATCTCACGCCGCCCCTCTGCATCCCCAGGGCGGCCGTGGGGCGCGCGCAGGCTTCTTGGCTCCCAGTCCAGGCGACTGTCCCTTCCCAGCCCCTCGGACAAGGCCCGCCCCACTCGGATTCTGCATTCTTAGCAGCGCACGTCCCCGCTGACTGCTGAGACCAGGCGGCGCGGCGGCAGGTGACCGCGTCTCCAGTCCCGGGCGCATCCCAGGGCACGTTGTCAGCACCGCAGAGCCCGGCCCGGGCCTCTGCAGCCATCTTCCGCTAGGGAGGCGCGGCCTCCGGACGCGGACCCGCCCCCGCCCGCTCGCCCGCCCCGCCTGGCTCCTTAGAGCGCCGCGCTTGGGTTCCTGCTTCCCTTCCCTACCCGGCCCGGCTGCGTCGCGCTCCTCGCCCGGCCGCAGAGCTCCAGCCGCGGCCGCCCCGCCGCTCGGCCCCGCCGCGCTCGCAGAGGCCGCCATGGGCACTGAGCGCTGGCTCGCGCTGGGCAGCCTCCTCGCCCTGGCCGGGCTGCTGGAAGGCCGGCTGGTGGGCGAGGAGGAAGCCGGCTTTGGCGAATGTGACAAGTTCTTCTACGCCGGGACCCCGCCTGCGGGTCTGGCAACAGATTCCCACGTGAAGATCTGTCAGCGCGCGGAGGGCGCTGAGCGCTTCGCCACCCTCTACAGCACCCGGGACCGCATCCCAGTGTACTCCGCGTTCCGCCACCCGCGCCCGGCGCCTGGCGGCGCAGAGCAGCGTTGGCTGGTGGAGCCGCAGGTAAGCGAAGCGGTTTCCGAGCAGGGCTGCGCGCGCTGGGGGCCTTGCCGCTGGACTTGCCCCCAGGGGCGCTTTGCAGCCACCACGAGGGGCCGGGCCCGGAACAGCAATCCCCACGCCTTCCTTGCCTTGGGCCAAAAAACCCGGGTTCCTGACCCACCGGGTTGCGTCCCCGAAGTTTAGCCGGCCTCGCCCCCTGTGGAGGCTGCAATAAGAGCCTGGCGATCCGAGAGTCATCACTTCACTTCATGAGCTGCACGGGCGGGAGGTCCCCTGTGGGAGGAGGTTCTCCCTGCATTTCTGCGCTGACATCTGCAGTGTTTCATTCGTTTCCTGAATAGTGAAGCGTAAGACAGAGACCCTGGAGACGGTTTAGATCCGCAGAAAGCCTAGGCTGGGCGCTCACAGGCCATCGTGCAAGTCATTGCCGTAGCACTCATTTGGAGGTGGGGAGGTGGGTATTTTCGTCCTCGTTTTACGGCAGAGGAGATTACAACCCAGGGGGTTGAAGAGACATGCGGAAGACCACCCAGCTGGTAAGATGGAGTAGGTCTTTTGGCTAGGAATTCATTACCCTTTCTACTAAGGAAAGCTTCCCTTTGCAGAGCCCATCCTAGCCTGAAAATCCTTCCTTCTACACATGGCATTGAGTAAATTCGATCTGTGGTTGTGCTGAGTTAGAACAATAAAATAGAGGTATAGATTTTTAGAAAGGCAGTGGGATAGTTTCGCATGATAGGGAAACACTGAATACCTCCAACTGATGGAAAGACAAGTCAGTTTTTCCTGACTCTTCATATCTGTATTATCAGATCACTAGGAAATCATGTCACCTCTTATGGTGTTGTGTCCCATATGGTAAAGGTAACCAAACACTGGAGAAGCCCTCAGAGGCTGTCGAACCTGCTGGCCTACTCTTAACACATCCTGGCTCACCTCTGCTCACTTGGCCTCCTCTCTAGAACACCCTGCCCGGCTCCCCTTCGCCTTCTCACCAGCTTCCCACACCTGCTCAGGCTGCCGGGGGAGGAGCTGACCCAACACTCTTCCTTTCCTGATGGCCACAGCTGCCCAGGACCACACCCGTGGACAGGAGGCTGGCTTTCAGGTGCTTTATTCAGAGCCTGTGGGTTGTTACTTCATTGAGCTATTTCTAGCTCTGAGGTCTCTGCCGGGTGTCAAACAATCTGCACCTAGTTTTCTTATCTTCCTCACATCCTTCCACTTACCTCAGCTGTTGATAACACCTGTTGAGATCAGGCGTGTGAAAAAGACTTTGTCAATTGCACACACACGACACATTTAAATCCAAAATTAGTTTTCCTCCAGCTGCACCCCTAGAGCTCACAGGGTATTCCCCACATCTCATCTTGCTTTGTGATTGTGTGCCTACGAAGAATACAAATGACCTAGTCCTTTCCCCTTGATCTCATGGACAGCCCAGGGAGACTGAATATACGTCTGAGGAAATCATGGGAATGCATGCTAAACAAATTTCAGCTAAATTCAGAGCACACTTAGTGATCTCCTGCTGTATGCCAGACATTTGGGATACCAAGAGATCTGAGTGCAGTTCTAGGACAAAGGCTTCCTGGTGGGCAGGTGGGGTTTGCTGGGTGGAGAGGTGGCATAGTATTTGATTAGAGCTATGCTATGTGAGTTCAAATCCCAGTTGCTCCACTGACTAGCTATGAACTTGGGCAGGTTAAATTGGAGATAATAGCAGAGGGTGGTGCGAGGATTTAATGAGTTACCATATGTAAAGTTGTCAGAGAGGCGTGTGACACAGGAGTACTAGCTGTTGCTATGACATAAACAAAAAACCATAATTTAATAAAGGGGAGCAAAGTCCTATTAGATTTAATCTGTCTTTGAGGTGATGGAAGCAAGCCTTAGGGTCAGGATGACATTTGTGCTGTGCCTGGAAAGATAAAGCCAGAAGGGAGGTCAGAAGGGAGACAGGGAGGAGGACATTTCAAGCAGAGGGAACACCGTGAGTGAGAAAGGCATGGCAGATTCAGGGATTTGTGCATGGAGAAGTTGGAACAGGTAAACTAATACAAATAGATTAATGTGTTCAAGTCTCAGAATAAAGAGGAATCATGGAAGGGAGGGATCAGCTAGGGAGGAGTCACCAAGGAAGGCTTAGGGAGGCAGAGCCATTTACGCATCTAGGGAAAAAGTGAGTCATAAAGGAGCGTAGTTTGACACAAAGAAGTGGAGGGAACCAGGTAACATGGAGACCCTGGGTGGGATAATGAGGAAAGGGACTGTGGAGCTTAAAGAAGATGGGAAGGGTGGGTGGAAATAGTTAGAAATGGCAGCTTGAGAGGTAAGATGAATAGCAGTTCTGAAAAGTACAAGGGGCCTGAGTTCACACTGTGCTGAGAGGTCAGAATGGTCACCGTGGTGAGGAAAGGATGCCTTTCCCTGCAAGGTGGGTGGCCTCCCACATCCACCCCCTCAAACCTCAAGTCAAGTCAGCCAGGATCCAGAGAGTATTGGGAGAGAGGGAGGGAGGAGGAGGTGTGAGGTGCAGCTGGGCTGGAGCGCACTGTAGCAAACCTGCCCCCTCCCGCTGCCTGCACCCCGAGGCCTGTCTCCCAGCCAAGATCCCCGCTGCAGAAAGATGCTCAGGGCTCAATGTGTACCTTTGGCTGCTTCCAAGCAGTTTATAATGCTGAGTCTCCTTGTGCCCACATCACCTTTTCATGAGGTCAGTGTTACCAAGAGGCCCAGTACACAGGGGAGGAAGAGGCAGGAGACCAAAGGAACTCAGCACTTGCCTCCAGCGATGAGTCAGGGAGGACAGCAGTGACACCGAGTTCCCAAGCCCAGTTCAGCAGCTTTTGAGGCCACTCTGCAGTTTCCCTTTGAAAAGAGTCTCCTAAGTCAAAGATCACAGAAACTTAGTCACCCTTGTGCTTAAAATGGGTAAGGTGTTGCCTGCCTAATCCCTACCGGACAAAGTTCACATTGCTGAGTGCAGTTTACGGGCCCTCCGTAGCCACGCTCCTGTCTCCAGCTCCAACCTGGTTTCTCACCATGCCCCACCCTCATATTTTATAGAGTTCCTCTCAAACCAGAAGGTTTGTGATGTCTATTTCTTAGCTCATGCTGATTCCCTTTGCCCAGATTCTCTTTCTACACTGAGCCCATCTCATCCTTCACTTCCTGCCCTTACTCCATCCTTTAAGATTTTACTGAGGTGTCACCTCCTCCAGAAAGAATTTCCCACCTGAATTGTATCCGCCTTCTTAGTTAGATCCACCCCTTCAGTGTGCTTATAATTTTTCTATTTCATACTTACCATTTTGTTTTGTAATTATCTGCTTACGTATCTGTCTCCCCAATTTGAGCCCTTGAGGAATGATGACTGCATCTTACTCATTCTTTTCCTAGTGCCCAGCTCATAGAAAGCACGTGGTAAGTGTCGAATAAAATAATTTGATGTTAGGAGAATCAATCAGGAGCAGTGGGTGAAATGTTCTGCTAGAGTTTTCTTGGTGGGAGCTTCCTGTTTCAGAAGCTTGCCCCATGGCTGGCCAGCAGCTGCTGTTACAAACATGCTCCCTATGCAGAGCTGGAATTGTCTTCTGCAGCTACTCCACCAGTCTTAGCTTTGGCCTTTGAAACTATCCCGAATGATTTTGATCTCTGCTCTGCCTACAGGAGATGGTTTGGAGGGGTCCTAGTCAAGACTCTAGAAACCTGAGAACTGGATTCTGGTTTAGTGCAGGAAGCCTAAAACCTTTTAGTTTTCGACTCCTTTCCACTTAAGGGAAGAATTTTTAGATTAAGATACCAATGATGCCTTTCCAAAGTGCATTGCTGATTTATGCCAGAAGCCAACATCTAAAGCGCCATCATTTTATAAACATGGAAGGAATTGAACATACAAATTAAATGATATGTAATATTATACATTATGTAAACATATCATATTACATAGTATATAATTAATATATAAGTATTATAATAAATACACATATAATACATAATAACATATATTATATAATATATAACAAATATAGTTATTACTGAATATGTAAATTATATAATATATAAAAATTATATATTATATAATTATAAATTATAAAGATATAATTTAAATGTATATTTATAAATTATGATATATGATTTTATAAAATATAAATTTGTATTTATAAATAAATACAAATTTAAATTATAAATATATATAATTATATATTATATAATTTATATATTCAGTAATTACGGTGTATATTTGTTCAATCTTACAAAAATACTGTGAGGTAGATGTTATTTTCTTGTGGAAATGAGGAAACTGGCTCAGAGAGGTTAACTGAGGTGTTGAAGGTCACACAGCTTATTTCTGAACTCATTACTGATTACCTTTCTTATACACTATGGAGATTCTTTGACCTCACGATGGATCCACTGTGTTAATGGTCTTAGGATTTTAATTCTCATCTTTTATGTGAGAATTCTGATTTCTGCTCCACTTCTGCTTTCTGACTGTCACAGGACAAGTGGGAGCACTTATGTGGCTGCATAAATGTTTCTCAAGTGTCAGTGACTCTGGAGTGAAGGGGATATTCTGGCTAACTGCAAAAACATTTTCCTAGAGGGCACAGTGAGGTCATATTCTGGATCTTAGTAAGTGCACATGAACAGCTGTCTCAAGTTAGAACTTCGATTAAGCCCTTGATCTTTAATTTCCATCCATGGCTTATACAACCTGAAACAGAAATACTGTTGAATTTGTTCCAACCTCAGTCTGCTTTTCATTGTGTCAGAGAACAGATATATAGACCATCATACACTTAAATCTCTGTATAACAAATGCAGTGAACAGGACAATCTTGATTCTTACGTGTTAATTAAGAGACTTAATTGAGATCCCTGCTCTTCCATTGACAAATTATGTGACCCTTAAATTCTTCCAGCCCTATTTTTTTGATCTGTTCACTAAAGGTCATAACAGTGTTTATAGAGTGGTTGTGACAAATAAACAAGAT